GATCTGCGGCGGGGAACGGTAAACGCTGCCTTCCAGGTATCGCGGCGGATGTGGGAGAAGAACCGTGACCTAGGCTTTTTGGAGGGCCGCCTCAAGGAGTGGACCATGCCCATGCAAGTCCGCAACGGCAAGGAAGCTCGCGAACAGGCGTGGGGTTTCGATGCGACCAAGGTGCAGCTCCCCGGACTGGGAGATTCAACCTCGTCGCTGTATTCATCTGAAAAGGAGTTCCTATAGAGGGTTTGCATGGGTGGTGTTCCGGTTGGCGGGCTTGGGTAATTGGGTTCTCACGAGCTATAATATCATCTATACAGTTTTACTACACAGCAGGCATAAAGCCGTGGCTGTCTGATTCTTGGCATTTCGGTTCTTGGTTCGGCATCATATAAATCAGACATATTGTCGTTGAATTCATCATCCTTATTTCGGTTGCGCGGCGTACCGAGTTTTGATCCGAGGTACGACGGGGGAGTCTATGCCGAGAAGGGAAGTCTTCCGGATTAATCAATTTCAATAAATGAATTAGTTAATGTCAGTTAATATCTCTACTCGTCATCCCTGTCCAACTCTGATACTATAGAGACTTTATGATTTGAACAAACCTGTTCTGACTGTCTCGTTAAGAGATACTACGAATGGAAAGTCCCCGAAGATTCCCCAAATATTCTCCTCTATCCCCCAGAACAAACAACTAGTCCAGCCCAGCCCAGCTGAACCGTTATGAACCAAACACAACAATTATCCACTTCCACCCGGTTAATAGTAAGCAGCCCACCCCACCCCACTAACATCCAGAAAAGCGGCTGGCTTAGACTATTTACCCCTTCCCTTCCCTTCCCTTCCCTTCCCCTTCTTCCATCCACAGTTCAGTTCCATTCCATGGAACAAATTCGAATGTCATGCCATGTGCCTGGAAACCCCAGAACCACACAAATAAGAAAAGATAAGCAGTAGTGGAAAAAATTTTTTTTTTATAAATCTTACCCTAATACTGCAGGGTTATGATCATTGATTTCTTGGCTATGGTCTGATCCCTGCATGTGTCCCATGTCCATCCCATGTCGCATGGCCCTTGGATAAGGACTACTTTTAGTTTAGTCGATAGTTTCTGCACTAAATTGCCTAGATTGAGTTAACTAGTTGGCCTGATGCATAGCGGATGAGTAAGTGATAGTTGCTTAGTAGTGTTGATGGAATTTTCCGGGATCGGAAGCCGGGATATGCTCCATGTAGTTGGCCAATAGGGTGGGTGGACTCCGTAGGTACCCCGGGTATTATTTGGCTGTGTTAATTGGATGCTGGTCTAGGGTAGTTCTTATGGATGGGATGATGGTTCGATTCCGATCTCGCCCCCATTCTCTGGTAGATGGGGATGGATCGGATGGATACGTATCGGATCTGGGCGGCATTTTGGTTAGGTGTTGGGGTCGGATCGTGGCGGATCTGGATCTACAGAGTATGTACTTGTGGTTCTTGGTTGTTGGTATGGGGGCGAGATCAGTACAGTCGTTGTAGGTATATATATATATAGGGTGTTATAAACTGGAAAAGGACTGTCAGTGGTAAAAGGTATTTCCGGCATTGAAGGGTTTCCGGGGAAAGAAAGAAAGAAAGAAGGTCGCTTCCTCTTCCCCATGTCGGTCCGTAGGGTTGTGGTTGTGGTTGTGTCTGTGTCGCGTGTCCTGGGCGAGGGGGGGTAGTGGGGTTCTACGTCATTCGATGCGATGGTAGCAAATGCCGGTTAGAATTCTATTTTTTTAGTCTTGGAGTAGTCGAGACGCGATGCAGTATCTAGTAGCAGACTTGACGGGCTGGTGTGTGGGGGCGTTGTGGTAAGTAGTCCGGGTGTATGGGGTGATAAGTATTTAGACGACGGGCGATGGAAAGATTTTCCCGGAATTGTCGGAGGTGGGAGGTTGCTTGTGGGTATACTATAGGTATAATATACTATTGGAGAGTTTATCGGTAGTTAGAGTGGGTTGATTCAGCTCATTAGTAGGTTAGTATCGTGTGACCTGTGCTGCTTAATTCATTTATAAAGTTGTGTAGTGTACTACGACTGACTTTTGTATGACAGCGTTAACAGCATCAACAGTTATGCAGACATCCATTCATTAATTAACCATTACCATAATAGAACCATCTTTTGATCCAGAAATCAGAGCAACAGCATATACTAGTCCTCTCCCACCCTGTCCGTCACCTACGAACCGAACTATCCACCAATAGATCAATCATACTGCCACGCCGCAGCCGAACTTCCATCCGACACCCACGGGTAAGCCAGAGCTTCGAACTCCAAGCAATCACTCACATTCCCCGACGGCACCGTCACATTCGTCATGGCAGCAAAAACCTGATATCCACCCCCATTCACCTCCTCGTCTTCATCCAGCGGGCAAGCCATGAACCCCGTCGCCCCGAGGCCCGTATACGTCCACTGTCCGAAGCTCGTACCCGGCGTGTAGCAGAACGTGCTTGTCGACGCACCGGAATCCATGTATGTTGTGTGGGCTTCGACAAACTTCAGCGCGCCGGTGGGGTCGACGTATATTTCTTGGATGTACTCGGAGCTCTGTTGGGGTTAGTATTTAGTGTTATAGTTTGAGAGGGGAATAGGCATACCAGGTAGTTGCTGTAGCCGATTACGGTTTGGTTTCCGGGCGGGCAGGCATCGTACTCCGCTACGTCCTCTGGACAAGCGGTGGAGGTCGTGCCTCCTAGGTAGAAGTTGGTGCCGGCGGCGGTCAGGGGGAGGTTTTGGATGAAAGTGCCTGAGCGGACGGACATCACGGTGAAGGAGCCGGTGCTGCAATTGGTGGTGGTGGTGGTGGTGGTAAGAGCGGGGGTGAGGAGGGCGAGGAGAGGGATGAGGGTGGTGAGGAAGGTCATTTTTGTGGTGTTGAGGGTGGAGCTTGGTTAGGTTTGGGTTGATGTGACGGGTTGTGGTTCTGAGGTTGGACGAAATGGTCGATGGCATATTTATAGTTATTCAATGATCGAAGCTGGATGTCAATTCAGCCTCA